CCTCGGATCTCCTGTTCTCCTGATACTTCTTCGGAAATTTTGCATTTGAAAGTTTCAGTGAATATTCCTCGGATCTCCTATTCTTCTGATACTTTTTCGAAAATTTTGCATTTTAAAATTTCAATGAATACCTCCTCGGATCTCCTGTTCTCCTGATACTTTTTCGAAAATTTTGCATTTGAAAATTTCAGTGAATACGTTTTCGACGTTCATGTTTTCATGATACCTTTTCAAAAAATTTCAAATTTTTAAATTTTTATCCTTATACTTTTTCCTCGATACTTTACCACTCGATCTTTTAACTATTCGTTGGCATACCAGGGGCCTATGTTACCAATTGTTGGTATTTCAGGGATCCGCATTACCGACCGCCATTATTCCCCTGAAGCGCGAAAATTCGAAATTTTTGAAAAAGTATCGGGGGAACATGAACGTCGAGGAGGTATTTAATTTTTAAACAATATTTCGATTGAATAGCCATTTACAAAAACAAATTCGAATTATTTAAATAAAAAAAAAATTAATCGTGCCGGGAGCGAACCCCAGCCGTCGGCATGGCAGTCAAGCACGTTGCCGATTACGACAACGCGCTTATTATAAAATTATAATTTCATTAGGAGTATATCTTCAATAGATTGAATATTTTTTTTCATTTGAAATTCCACAAGATGTGGCTGCTCCCTTCCGCTTGTTTTACAGTCGATTAAATTTCAGTTAAACAAATAAAAAACAAAAAGCATTCATACTGCAGAAAATAAAATTCACCCCGACACCCCGGCGCCCTCCCTCTCTTGGGGTGCAGTACTACGATGACGCTGGGGTCACTCAAACCCCCAGAACTGAGCCTCTACTTTAGGCTCTGACCACGTTAAAGGTTTTGTACGGGCGCTGGCAATCTCTCTTACAATCTCTAGTTTCCATCTATATAATACCGTGTACATTTTGCCTGAGACATTATTATTTCCTGCAATGACAATCCTACAATCAACTTAGATCAGTTTCATTATTTCAACGAACATGAAATTATTACTAATTAAATATTGTTGTACCGTATGTACAACGCATTCAGTGAGTTGATCGGAAGGCGGATCATTGTCTCTCAGTGTCGTGGTGTCAATTATTGATAATTTATATCACATATTAGTAGGTGATATTATTCAATGAAAAATGGGGGAAAAAAAAATGTACACCAAAAAATAACGTGGTAAAGAAAACAAATCTTCGAACCTGTACTTGTTTGCTTATAAAGAATATATTTGGCAGAGCGCTTCACAACAGGTAAATTTTTTTCTTCTTTCATCACCATTTTTCAACTTTTCTCCCGAGAATGTTTCATTTTTCATAACTCTCTGAAAATCATTTATTAATAAATATTGGATGGACTAACGAATAGATTTTTATCAATGATATCCTTAATAAATGAAAATTAATTAACAAATTTGATTTTATTATGTGCATATAACTTTTCGATAAAATTCACTATCGCTTGATAAAATTCTTATATTCCTAATTTTCTGTGGCTTTGTGTA